CCCCCCCCCCCCCCCCCCCCAAGGATGAAGCCATGGGAGCAGAGACCAGCCCTTGCAGACCCAGGTGCCTTCACCCTCACCTCCCAGGCTCGGAAACCACGAGAAAGCAACCTCTGATCTTTATAAATGGCCCACAAAACAGCCTCTGGCGTTTTGTGATAGCAACCTTAGTGAGCTAAGCCCCAGATCTTGCTGACGGACATGCTCCAGCACCCAGCAGGACCACCTGAGATGTGGGCTCCTCCCGCTCTGCCTTCTGCTTCTTCAACTCTCTCTCGGTCATCACGGTCATTTCAGAATCCATTTCCCTCCATATCTCCATGGCGAGGGAGCGGCTCAGCTTCCCTCAGTTGGGAACTGCCTTGGACGACAAAAGCAGTTGGATACTTTTGGCTCACCTAGCGGCTTCTTTGCTCTCACTATGGAAGGTGAGTGGCATCTGTGGCCCTAACGGCTGTCACAGAGTCACTTACCCCCACTGTTGGTCAGACCTCACAAGCCCAGATGCATTCCACGGGAGGACGTGGACCCTACTTCCCTACTTCTTGGTGGGAGACACATCAAAAGTTGCAGCCAAATGTCCCATCCGTACAAACAACAAGAATAACATGACCTTTCCCAGGCCTGGCCCTGGGCTTTTTCTGCTCCGGGCCCCTAAACCATGCTTGTTCATGATCCCAATGAGTTGGATGCTGCTATCTCTGAGGTCTCTTTGAGGAGGCAGGCATGCAGGGCAGGTGGGATTTGGCCCTCGTGTCTCCTGGGGTCCAGAAAACCTTCTCCTTTAACAACCACTGCACGTTGCAGTTGCATGAAGAACTCATTCTATCCACAAATGTTCACAGTGTACTGGTCCCAGTGACCAAGCCGGATGAAGCTTCTGTTTCCTGGAACTCTGAGTGGGGCTGGGAGACAAGAAACCAACGGGGACACAGCAGTCCCAGGCAGACAGGATGGGAGCTGCAGGGACAAGGGGTCCTTAGAAAGGACTCACCTGACACCAGGGGGAGGGAAGGCTCAGGCCTGAGGAGGATGGTCCAGGAAACAGTACAGCTAGAGCACACAAAAAGGTCCTGGGATCCAAAGGCCCTAGGGTGCCAGCAAAGCTGGAAGGACTGTGGCCAAAACAGTGAAGTCAACAGAAGTGTGGACAGCCATGTCCCCTGGAGCCATCCTGAGGGTTCTGTGGATCCTGGGAGACATGAGAGGGCTGAGGGACTCACTGAGGCCCCTTAAAACCTAGCCCGTGCCCTCTCCTCCTACCCCAAGCCACATACTGAGGTATAACCGGGAGCACTGGCCCCACAGGGACTGGTTCCTGCTGGTCAGTGCCAAGGCCAGCCTCAGCTCCCTGCTCCTTGTCCCATCCCTGCCTGGGTGCTGGTGGCTGTCAGGCCGGGCAAGCGGCAGATCAAACACCCCCCCCCCCCCAGGGCCTGGCCTTGCCCATCAGGAAAACATCACGTGGCACTGGAATGAGGTGATTTCGAGCAGCCGATGTGAGGAAATGGGTATTTATGTAGCTGCGGGCATGGTTTTTATTTTCCCTAATTTTCAGATTACTTTCGATTAGGCCTCTTCGGAGTAGAAAAGGCTTGAAGTGAAATCGATCCTGCCTAAATCATTATGGCCAGCTCAGCCCCAGGCTGCCTCTGTAGACAATTACCCCAGACCCTAGGGTTAGGGGGCAGACTCCAGGCACGGGACACTTCCCGGGGCTCACCCAGACCTGAGCTGGCCCAGGGCCTTTGTGCCTTGTGGCACACAGCAGCCATTGATTCCCAGTCTCTGGCCAGAGGGGCGGGAGGGAGCTGAGCAGGGAGTAATTCCCAGCAGCATCTGGACTCTATCTCTGCTCCCGCCCCTAAGCCAGGACAGGGAGGGGGCTGGGAGAGGGAGAAAGGGAAAAATGCCCAGGCCAAATTCAAATGCTTTCATGAATTTTGCAGTAGAAATGTTTTGACGTGAATATTTTTGTCAGCCTCTAGAGTTTGCCAAAAGAAACTCAACTCCCCACCACAGCTCAAGTGTGTTCTGCAATTGGCTCTGTAGCCTCTGCAGGACAGGCAGTGGGCCCCAGCACCTGTGAGGCTAACTGGGGTGGCACGTGGGCGTTGGTTCAGGGGTCCCAGTGATACACAGGGCAGACCCATGGGGTGCTTTTCCAGGAGAAGCTCTCAGGCACCAGAGGGGTGGATCCAAATACAGGGGCAGCTGGGAAGCTGGAGGGAAAACTGGACAACACAAGAAATCCTTGTGACAGCAGGAATTTGCTTCTGGGAACTTGGAGGGAAAAAAACGTTTCTTCTCCTCCTCCTCCTTCTCCTTCTTTCTCCTTCTCCTCCTCCTCTTCTTCCTTCTCCTCCTTCTGTTCCTCCTTTTCTTCCTCCTCCTCTTTCTTTTCTCCTCTTCCTCTTCCTCTTCTCCTTCTCTTTCTTCTCTTCTTCCTCTTCCTCCTACTCCTTCCCTTCCTCCTCCTCTCCAACTCTTCCTTCTTCTCATCCTTCTCCTCCTCCTCTTCCTCCTCTTCATCCTCCCTCTCATCCTCACAGGGTCTTATGTAGCCAAGGCTGCTCTCAGACTCTGTATAGCTGAGGATGACCTTGAACTTCTGATCCTCCTGCCTCTGCCTGCTGAGCACTGGGATTGTAGCTGTGCCCCACCATGCCTGGCTTACTGGGTGCTGGAGTTGGAACCCATAGCTTCGTGCATGCTAGGCAAGCACTCCACCAACTAGGCTATATTCCCAGCCTCTGTATGCTTTCTTCTTAGAAACATAAGTTTTTATTTATTTTTGGGAAATTTCATAACATATGCAATGTATCCGAACTATTTCTACCCCAAACATTCCCCCTCCAACCTCTTTTTAACTCTGTATACGCCTCTCATTGTTATTATTGTTATTGTTATTATTTTTAACCCACTGAATATCCGTTGTGCTATCTATTTATATGCTCGCAGGCACAGGCTCACTCACTGGGACACAGAAAACTACCAGTGACCACACTCTTAAAGGAAAGAGACACTGCCATCAACTGCCAATGGCGCCTCACAGAGGGATGGGGCCTTGGGAACCCTACCACTTCCCCCCCCCAACCTCCCACCCACTCTGTGCTGGAACTGGTAACTGGTTGATCTTGTGCAGGCCTTGAGAAGGTAACCATCAGCTGCTTTGAGATCATGTGGGTAACAGCTAAGCCACGCCCAGACACGCTCCTCCCAGTTCTCCAGCTCCTGCATCCTCTCCGCCCCCTCTTCCTCCACATTCCCAGAGCTCTGGGGAGGTGGCATCTGCAGCTAAGCGCTTTCAGCTCTTTCAGCCCTTAACAGTCACGATTAACCACTCCCTGACGAATATGAATAACTAAATAAAAAGGCTCTAAGTATAGTGTTCCTTTTATCTCTCTCAAGAGATGAGGCGTAGGATGGACACACCACCCAGCCTTTCTGTCTTTATTCTCAGTGACAGACTGGGTGGGCAGAGGTGGTGTGCCCCTTCTGGATGCAATGACTGACTGTGATGAGGAAACTTCTCTGAGGGACCGAGGACACGCTGCAGCAAGTGAAGGAATGACAGAGACCTCTGCAGGCTATCCAGGACACAGGAAAATATAACCATC